CTGCAGGAACTCCTCCCAGGGCGTCAGCACGTCTTTGGCCTCCAGCTTCTTCTTCACCAGCTGCTCCGTCGTCTCCTTCAGGCCTGTGGAGTGGAGAAAAACACTTTTAAAACAAGCCCCGCCTTCAGGCCCGACCTCTCCTCGTGTTAAGAAAGCAGGAAGTGAGGCTGCGTGCTCGTACCTGGCACCCAGGTGACCTCCATCTCCATGTCTTTGTCCTCCTGCACCTTCTTCTCTTTCTCCTGGATGCCTTTCAGCAGCTCTCTGTACTTGGAGATCTGCTCCTCGCTCTTCTTCTTCTTCTCCTGCGCCTCTACGACGCGCTCGTCTGTCCGGCACAAACACAGCACACCTGCTCGGCGCCGCTTTCACATTTCAGCAGTCAGAAAACCGTCACGTTCTCGTGTTTCTCACCTGCCGCCGTCTTCACGTCCTCTTCAAAGGCTCCGTCACCACCACCTTCCTCCTCCTCTTCGCTGGAGGAGGCCAGGTAGGCTCTGAAGTCCATGTCCAGCAGCTCGTCTTTGTTGAACTTCCTGTTTAGGGCCGTCACGCGCTCGTGATCGGTTTCATCCCACGTCAGCTGCACCTGATCGGGTCGACACAAACACGTCACCGCCTGCTGCACGGAGCTCCTGCCCTGACGTCAGCTCTGAGTAACAAACTTCATTCGCACAGGTGAACCCACCTGACATCATCACACCTGTAAAGTCTGCCAACACTCTTCCTGTTGCCTCTGATGGCGAGTGTCGGGGAAGCGCTTACCTTCGAGGTGGCGGTCGCAGACGAGGTGAAGAGCTTGGGCGTGTAGGCCGACAGGTTTACGTCCGTCGCCGCGTCTTTGGGCTCCTCGTCAAACTTCACGTCATCGGGAACGAAGCTGCTCGTGTAAGGAGAAGAAGACAAGCCGTGAGATCCTTTAACGAGCTTCTAAAGTCGATGATCGACATTGAAGCTGAACAACGTGACGCGGTTGGCTTTCATCAACAAGCTGGAACAAATCTGTGTAACTGTTGGATGATTAACGCGCGCATCATCATGGTGACCCTGCAGCGCGTGCACTCTGACCTTTGACTGAACTAAAGTTCATGGATGGAAGCTGAGCTGCGGGCCGGGAATGTTAAGTAAATACTCAGATCCTGGCTTCCTGCAGACGTCCGATTCAGGAACGACTACATCTACAAACCTTCATTATGGAATAACTGAAGCTGGGAAAGCTGGAAGTTGATCAACAGGAACACATGAGTGACTTTAGTCTGCTCGCTGACACGCAGGTCCGAGCGCAGCTGACGTCCACTCGCTGCGCTCGGATCAGTTTTCGCTAACGTGAGCCTGACGTGCGTGCGTTGCTTCGATGCCGTTTGCTGACGTACCGCAGGTCGAGGACGGAGCAGCTGCTCTCGTACTCGTAGCCGTCGCACTCCTCGTAGATCTTCGCCGCCGTCTGGGCCGAGTCGCACTCCGCCACGGCGTAGAAATACTTCAGACGCTTGAACTGGTAGTCCCGCAGCTTCTCCCTGTAAACCCTGAGAGCACACAACACCCATGACCGTCTGACAGGTCAGCAGGGAGCCCCGCCCACCTGTTACTGCACAGCGGCTTTTAAGTGTACACAGAATCACTGGTGTCCAAATGCAGCTTGTTTCAAAGCAATAAGGTTACAGTTACAGCCACTTCATTAGGTACACCTGTGCATCTGCTCGTTAATGTAAATACCTGATCAGCCAATCACAGGGCAGCAGCTCAGCGCATGCAGACATGCTGAAGTTTAAACTGAGGACCCGACTGATGAAGAAAGGAGGTTTCAGAGACCATGAACGTGTCACGGTTGTGTTTCTGCTGATCTGCAGCGAGCAGCGGCTCCCTGGGTGAAACGCTAGCAGAGGCGCCGCTGTGATGGCGTGGAGCGCTGCTTCAGCAAAGCTCAGGTCATCTCAGACGGTTTCTAGAACACCACGATGAGTTTGCTGCACTCACTACAGCACCTGTGCGATGATGTCATGGTGATGTCACTCCAGCAGATGTTGAATCTGATGCATGAAGAATTAAGAGTGCAGGGTGTACCTAATGAAGTGGCCTGCATATTCATGTAATCCACCTTTTATGTTGAAAAGCCAACAAACGTCCCGCCGGCGCCGAACCGTCAGAGCCGACGCAGCCTCGTGACACAAACCTTCCCACGAGCTGCTCGACTAACAAAGTCTGGCTGAAAACTGCATCTAAATCCCGCCTCTCTGTGACATCATCATTACCTCTCCTCCTCCGTGTCGTCCTCCGAGTCGTCGGGCAGCGCCTTCAGCTCCATCGGTCCCTGACTCTCCTCCGCCTTCAGCCTCTCCTCCCCAAACTCTGACGGGTAGATCTGCAAGCATAACCCAGCACGCACTGTACTGATCATCAGCACTTCCCGGCTCCGCCCACACACAGACAAACCCACGCAGGTCTCCTTACCTTCACAGAGAGCACGGCGCCGCCTTTGGGCGTGAAGGATTGGAGCAGAGCCAGCAGGTCTCGGGCCTTCAGCCGGTCCCAGTCCATGTTGCAGACAGCGAGCCGCGCCGACACCTGACGCGGTGAGATCGTGTTAGCAACGTTTCCCGGTGGCGCAGACTAACCTTTGACCTTCAGCCTTTACCGCACGCAGCATCACCTCGTCGCTCCGCGGCGCGTCTTTGCACAGCTCCCCCCAGTTGTGTTCGATCTCCTCTTCCTCTTTCCTCAGGATGGCGCCCACGTCGTCCTCGTCGTCTTCGTCCGAGCTCGTCTCGATGTTGCCCTTCCCCCGGGCCAGATCCGGCCCGCTGTCGCTGTCGTCCCCCGAATCCAGGCCCGACTCCTCTTCATCAGATCCACTCGCCTCGTCACTCTGCGCCGCCTCCTCCTCATCAGAGACGCTTAGGTCATCTTCATCCTCCTCTGCAGACCGCTGCTCGTCATCATCTTCATCACCTGCATCAGCATCGAACAGAAGAGAGACGGTCAAATCGTTTCTGACACGCTTACCTGAGCAGGGTCAAAGGTCACCTGGACACCCCTCAATCATCCACACAGTGTTACTATGGTAACGGCATGTTTTTACCGGAAGTTCATTAACATGAAAACATCTCCTGACCTTCAGAGAGACTCGCTGCTCCTTTAGGCTGCTCTGCTTTGGCGCCGCCAACATCCTCCTTCTTCTTCTTCACCTCTGCTGCTTCCTCGCCCTCGCCAGCTTCCTCCTCCTCGGAGTCGGACAGTTTGTAGAAGCGCTTCAGGTCCTCAGCGGAGGTGTGGTTGATGGGCCGCCCTCGCTTGTCCACCGTGTACTTGACCTTGAAGCGCTCGTCGTGGAACATGGAGTGAAAGCGTTTGTCGATCTTGACTTTGCGCTCCCTCTCTGGCATCTCCCAGAACCGCGGGTCCTTCTGGACCCGGAGGAAGCGCTCGTCCCCGTCTGGGCGTTTTTTGGACGACATGGCGGTAAAATCCCAGCCTCACCTGCAGAACAGAAACCAGTTAAAAACCACGTTTCACACCGAGCTGGTTTCTGCTCGGACGTCAAACCCAACCCCGGGCCTCGTGATGGACACACGTGTGGCATTCAGGGTCATTCGGTAATCCTCATTACTACAATCACCGGCTCGTGCAGGACTCATGAGGTCGTAGAATTAAAAACGCTCACGTTTTAAAACATGATTTTAATGCCAACAACAATGACACGGAGCAAAGAAACGTGCAGTGGTGGACAACATGAACTCTGTGGTGTCAGTGTGTACAGCGCCAGTCCTTCTTCTTCATGACCTCCGCTGGACTCGCTCCTGCCTCCTCCGAGCTCCAGGCCGACCACAGTTTGTCCCCAAACACCCACTCTGTCCCCCCGTGCAGGAGCAGTGTGGAGACAGCCTGTGCAGCAGGCCGGTCCAGTGGACGGAACGGCTGCCTCACAGCTCTGGGTTAGAACCTGCTGGTTGTCCCGGCTCCTGCCTGGGTTCCCTCTGAGTTCTTCAGCTTCCTGCTACATGCTGCGTTTACAGGTGCCGGCTCACACGGCGACCTGCCCGGGTGGACCCGCCTCTCGCAGTGTGAGCGCTGGGACAGGCTCCAGGCTTCCAGGCTGTGATCGTCCGAGGAGGCAGGAGCTGAGGTCCAGCTGAGGTCATGAGAGGTCAGCGGCGTGTAAACACGCCCTTTATTTCTCACTGTCATCACAGACGTGTGCGAACCGGTCTCTTTCGTTTACAGTTCATTGTAAATAATTGTACTTTCTGTAAAGTGGTTTCAGTAAAACAGAAAAGTATGTCCACATGTGCTTAGCAAGAACAGCTGGCATCAATCGTGGATCGTTCATCTAGAGCTGCTGAGGAGAAGTTAATGTTATGAGCGACCTCTGGCTGCATCCTGGTCACATGGTCAACGCACTCACAGCGTGGAGGCTTAAAAACGGCCAAATCTCGTACCCAACCGTTTGTGAATCAGATGTGCGCCGTATGCGCCGACTCCACAGACAAGGCACGCGAAAATATGGGGATAGAACAACGGCGGTAGGCTGCCCGGGTTTCCGCTCCACTGCCTTTTTTCAGACGGGTCCACATTACCGATGCACGCCGTTTCTTCCAGTTACTGTCTCTTGGCGTCCGGTCGCGATACAGCCCTTTGTCTTTTGCGCTGGTTTTAAGGTTCTGACGCTCCTGCTTCCAGCACAGTGTGTTTGTTTTGATTCGTGGCCTTCTGACATGGCGCCGCGATCCCACAATGCACTGCGTGACGTCAACTCCAAAGCCCTATTGTCTGTAAAAGCAGGGAGCCTGAATGTTGCTGAACTTCTACTGTGGCCAACAGTGAGCCTGGATCACTGCATCTCATCGGCTCAGCTGTTCTCGGCCTCATGTGTTCACAGCAGCACGTTGTTCGCTTTCATCTGAGTCCTGTTCAGTTCAGGCAACCACAGAACCACAGAGGTCAAAGGTTAAGCTGGCGCCTCGCTACAGTTTTCAGCCAGCAGCCGTTGAGAGTATGCTCACCTGGAAGTGGTCGTCCTCCGGCAGCTCCTCCCCTTTCTTCAGCAGCTTCTTCCTCTTCTTCTTGCTCAGGTTCTGCTGCTCCACGATCTTGTCGTAGTTGAAGTGTTTGTGTTTGTCGTCGTCGTCCATCAGCAGAGCCATCTGAGCCTGGAAACACACACACGGTTTAGTTGGGACAGGCCGAAACGATCAGATCCAGAACCGGCCCGGCCGAGCCGCGACCTCTGACCTTCTGTTTCTGCAGCTCCTCCTCCTCCTCGGCCGTCCGTCGCTCTTCCTCCTGCTTCTTCTTTTTCTTCCCTTTCTGTTTCTTCTTCATGTCTGCAGAGACAAAATCAGAGACCCTGAAACTCTGTTGGTGGACACACACACACACAGACGCACACACACACACACACACACACACCACACACACGTGCACACACACACACACACACACACACACACACTGACGCACACACACACGCACACACAGACACACACACACACACTCACACACACACGCACACACACACACACACACACACACACGCACACACACATGCACACACACAGACACACACACAGACACACACACACTCACACACACACTCACACACACACACACACACACACACACTCACACTCACACACACACTCACACACACAGCGCACACACACAGACACACACACTACACACTACGCACACACCACCACACACACGGCACACACACTGACACACACAGTGCACACACACACAGCCACACACACTCGTGCACACACACACACACACACACACGCACACACGTCACACACACACGTGCACACACACACACACACCTGCAGCACCGAGCTCCTCGGAGAAGAAGGGGTCGCTGAGGTCGACGTCTGAAGGAAGCTCGTCGTCGCTGAGCGCTCCCTCGCCCGCTCCCTGATGAGGAGAAACAGGTCGGTGACATCATCACACTTGGATATGATTGGCGTGAATACAAACGTCTCAGGCTCAGAGGCGTTCGTCAGTAGCCAGTCAGGCTGCAGCCTCAGGATGATGTAAGCAACACGTGTTGGACTGAAAGCAGAACAAACAGCGTCTGAACTGCTCCAATAACCTGCATTATCCAGGACCAGGACCAGGACCCGGACCAGGACCCGGACCAGGACCCGGACCAGGACCCGGACCCGGACCAGGACCAGGACCCGGACCCGGACCAGGACCTCAGGGCTGGTTTATAATTACAGCTGATCACAGCTAATCTGGCGCTCCTGCAGTGTTAGCCTCACTCGGCGAACTGCTGATGTTCGGTTTTCCAAAACTGATTCAGGACATTGATCCGACATGTCAAAGTGAAAGCAGCAGCTCTCACAGCGGAGCATCGTGGACTCCACATCGAGTGATGCTGCTACTAACAAAGGCTGGAACGTTCCATCCAACAAAGACGCCGTTTGCGTCTGCAAGCCACGCCCTCACCTGTTTACTCTCACACTTCTTCTGCTTCTTCTTCTCTCTCTTCTTCTGCAGGAACTCCTCCCAGGGCGTCAGCACGTCTTTGGCCTCCAGCTTCTTCTTCACCAGCTGCTCCGTCGTCTCCTTCAGGCCTGTGGAGTGGAGAAAAACACTTTTAAAACAAGCCCCGCCTTCAGGCCCGACCTCTCCTCGTGTTAAGAAAGCAGGAAGTGAGGCTGCGTGCTCGTACCTGGCACCCAGGTGACCTCCATCTCCATGTCTTTGTCCTCCTGCACCTTCTTCTCTTTCTCCTGGATGCCTTTCAGCAGCTCTCTGTACTTGGAGATCTGCTCCTCGCTCTTCTTCTTCTTCTCCTGCGCCTCTACGACGCGCTCGTCTGTCCGGCACAAACACAGCACACCTGCTCGGCGCCGCTTTCACATTTCAGCAGTCAGAAAACCGTCACGTTCTCGTGTTTCTCACCTGCCGCCGTCTTCACGTCCTCTTCAAAGGCTCCGTCACCACCACCTTCCTCCTCCTCTTCGCTGGAGGAGGCCAGGTAGGCTCTGAAGTCCATGTCCAGCAGCTCGTCTTTGTTGAACTTCCTGTTTAGGGCCGTCACGCGCTCGTGATCGGTTTCATCCCACGTCAGCTGCACCTGATCGGGTCGACACAAACACGTCACCGCCTGCTGCACGGAGCTCCTGCCCTGACGTCAGCTCTGAGTAACAAACTTCATTCGCACAGGTGAACCCACCTGACATCATCACACCTGTAAAGTCTGCCAACACTCTTCCTGTTGCCTCTGATGGCGAGTGTCGGGGAAGCGCTTACCTTCGAGGTGGCGGTCGCAGACGAGGTGAAGAGCTTGGGCGTGTAGGCCGACAGGTTTACGTCCGTCGCCGCGTCTTTGGGCTCCTCGTCAAACTTCACGTCATCGGGAACGAAGCTGCTCGTGTAAGGAGAAGAAGACAAGCCGTGAGATCCTTTAACGAGCTTCTAAAGTCGATGATCGACATTGAAGCTGAACAACGTGACGCGGTTGGCTTTCATCAACAAGCTGGAACAAATCTGTGTAACTGTTGGATGATTAACGCGCGCATCATCATGGTGACCCTGCAGCGCGTGCACTCTGACCTTTGACTGAACTAAAGTTCATGGATGGAAGCTGAGCTGCGGGCCGGGAATGTTAAGTAAATACTCAGATCCTGGCTTCCTGCAGACGTCCGATTCAGGAACGACTACATCTACAAACCTTCATTATGGAATAACTGAAGCTGGGAAAGCTGGAAGTTGATCAACAGGAACACATGAGTGACTTTAGTCTGCTCGCTGACACGCAGGTCCGAGCGCAGCTGACGTCCACTCGCTGCGCTCGGATCAGTTTTCGCTAACGTGAGCCTGACGTGCGTGCGTTGCTTCGATGCCGTTTGCTGACGTACCGCAGGTCGAGGACGGAGCAGCTGCTCTCGTACTCGTAGCCGTCGCACTCCTCGTAGATCTTCGCCGCCGTCTGGGCCGAGTCGCACTCCGCCACGGCGTAGAAATACTTCAGACGCTTGAACTGGTAGTCCCGCAGCTTCTCCCTGTAAACCCTGAGAGCACACAACACCCATGACCGTCTGACAGGTCAGCAGGGAGCCCCGCCCACCTGTTACTGCACAGCGGCTTTTAAGTGTACACAGAATCACTGGTGTCCAAATGCAGCTTGTTTCAAAGCAATAAGGTTACAGTTACAGCCACTTCATTAGGTACACCTGTGCATCTGCTCGTTAATGTAAATACCTGATCAGCCAATCACAGGGCAGCAGCTCAGCGCATGCAGACATGCTGAAGTTTAAACTGAGGACCCGACTGATGAAGAAAGGAGGTTTCAGAGACCATGAACGTGTCACGGTTGTGTTTCTGCTGATCTGCAGCGAGCAGCGGCTCCCTGGGTGAAACGCTAGCAGAGGCGCCGCTGTGATGGCGTGGAGCGCTGCTTCAGCAAAGCTCAGGTCATCTCAGACGGTTTCTAGAACACCACGATGAGTTTGCTGCACTCACTACAGCACCTGTGCGATGATGTCATGGTGATGTCACTCCAGCAGATGTTGAATCTGATGCATGAAGAATTAAGAGTGCAGGGTGTACCTAATGAAGTGGCCTGCATATTCATGTAATCCACCTTTTATGTTGAAAAGCCAACAAACGTCCCGCCGGCGCCGAACCGTCAGAGCCGACGCAGCCTCGTGACACAAACCTTCCCACGAGCTGCTCGACTAACAAAGTCTGGCTGAAAACTGCATCTAAATCCCGCCTCTCTGTGACATCATCATTACCTCTCCTCCTCCGTGTCGTCCTCCGAGTCGTCGGGCAGCGCCTTCAGCTCCATCGGTCCCTGACTCTCCTCCGCCTTCAGCCTCTCCTCCCCAAACTCTGACGGGTAGATCTGCAAGCATAACCCAGCACGCACTGTGCTGATCATCAGCACTTCCCGGCTCCGCCCACACACAGACAAACCCACGCAGGTCTCCTTACCTTCACAGAGAGCACGGCGCCGCCTTTGGGCGTGAAGGATTGGAGCAGAGCCAGCAGGTCTCGGGCCTTCAGCCGGTCCCAGTCCATGTTGCAGACGGCGAGCCGCGCTGACACCTGACGCGGTGAGATCGTGTTAGCAACGTTTCCCGGTGGCGCAGACTAACCTTTGACCTTCAGCCTTTACCGCACGCAGCATCACCTCGTCGCTCCGCGGCGCGTCTTTGCACAGCTCCCCCCAGTTGTGTTCGATCTCCTCTTCCTCTTTCCTCAGGATGGCGCCCACGTCGTCCTCGTCGTCTTCGTCCGAGCTCGTCTCGATGTTGCCCTTCCCCCGGGCCAGATCCGGCCCGCTGTCGCTGTCGTCCCCCGAATCCAGGCCCGACTCCTCTTCATCAGATCCACTCGCCTCGTCACTCTGCGCCGCCTCCTCCTCATCAGAGACGCTTAGGTCATCTTCATCCTCCTCTGCAGACCGCTGCTCGTCATCATCTTCATCACCTGCATCAGCATCGAACAGAAGAGAGACGGTCAAATCGTTTCTGACACGCTTACCTGAGCAGGGTCAAAGGTCACCTGGACACCCCTCAATCATCCACACAGTGTTACTATGGTAACGGCGTGTTTTTACCGGAAGTTCATTAACATGAAAACATCTCCTGACCTTCAGAGAGACTCGCTGCTCCTTTAGGCTGCTCTGCTTTGGCGCCGCCAACATCCTCCTTCTTCTTCTTCACCTCTGCTGCTTCCTCGCCCTCGCCAGCTTCCTCCTCCTCGGAGTCGGACAGTTTGTAGAAGCGCTTCAGGTCCTCAGCGGAGGTGTGGTTGATGGGCCGCCCTCGCTTGTCCACCGTGTACTTGACCTTGAAGCGCTCGTCGTGGAACATGGAGTGAAAGCGTTTGTCGATCTTGACTTTGCGCTCCCTCTCTGGCATCTCCCAGAACCGCGGGTCCTTCTGGACCCGGAGGAAGCGCTCGTCCCCGTCTGGGCGTTTTTTGGACGACATGGCGGTAAAATCCCAGCCTCACCTGCAGCACAGAAACCAGTTAAAAACCACGTTTCACACCGAGCTGGTTTCTGCTCGGACGTCAAACCCAACCCCGGGCCTCGTGATGGACACACGTGTGGCATTCAGGGTCATTCGGTAATCCTCATTACTACAATCACCGGCTCGTGCAGGACTCATGAGGTCGTAGAATTAAAAACGCTCACGTTTTAAAACATGATTTTAATGCCAACAACAATGAGACGGAGCAAAGAAACGTGCAGTGGTGGACAACATGAACTCTGTGGTGTCAGTGTGTACAGCGCCAGTCCTTCTTCTTCATGACCTCCGCTGGACTCGCTCCTGCCTCCTCCGAGCTCCAGGCCGACCACAGTTTGTCCCCAAACACCCACTCTGTCCCCCCGTGCAGGAGCAGTGTGGAGACAGCCTGTGCAGCAGGCCGGTCCAGTGGACGGAACGGCTGCCTCACAGCTCTGGGTTAGAACCTGCTGGTTGTCCCGGCTCCTGCCTGGGTTCCCTCTGAGTTCTTCAGCTTCCTGCTACATGCTGCGTTTACAGGTGCCGGCTCACACGGCGACCTGCCCGGGTGGACCCGCCTCTCGCCGTGTGAGCGCTGGGACAGGCTCCAGGCTTCCAGGCTGTGATCGTCCGAGGAGGCAGGAGCTGAGGTCCAGCTGAGGTCATGAGAGGTCAGCGGCGTGTAAACACGCCCTTTATTTCTCACTGTCATCACAGACGTGTGCGAACCGGTGATGACCTCACAGGTATCAGTGTCGTTGAGCCGCGATGAGCTCAGACTGCAGCGCCGAGACGGTTCTTATCGATCTCACCGTTATTATTGATCTGATGGTTCTTATCGATCTCACCGTTATTATTGATCTGACGGTTGAATCGTTCTCTGTGCTCTTGTCTGTTTCATCCTCTGAAACTTTTCGAGGTTTTAAAGAGGATCAGGTTTGAAATCATGGCTCAGTTTGCGCCGCACACCTCAGCCTGGCTTTCTGTTTTCATGTTTACAACCTGGAGACACCGGAAATAGCTGAGAGCACAGGAAACACTTGAGAGGACCGGAAACAGCACGTCTACGCTAGAAACACCTGAAACACCTGAAACACCTGAAGCAACGCGAGCTTTAAATTAAACTTAGAAACTGGTGAAACTTTACCGACACAGTGTCCACTCCTCCGCGATCTCACACACGTGTTTACCCAGCATGCAACGCTGTAGCATCGTCTGCTCCACCCCGCCCCTTTCTCTAAGGCGAGCGAAGAGGGACAAACAGGAGCGAAACGCGGTTTAAACACAGAGAGTGACGCAGCAAACAACAAACGCAAATTATTTTATTAATTTAATTTATTTTATTAAATTAAATTAATAATTTAATTATCACTATTGTTTATATATATATATATATATTTAAATTTAAGTCATTTTATTTTAATCTTATTTTATTCAATTTTACTTCCGTTCTCAGGCTGTGATCCGTTTCCGGGGTTTCCGGTGAGCTCAGCTGAGGCCGGTCCGGGTTTTGGGTCTCTCCCCTCGGAGGTGACCCGGTGTGGAGGCTCGGAAGTCTCCGTGTTGGTGTCTGTGAGTTTGTTCCGCGGGATGAGCGGCAGGCTGTGTCGGAGGCTCCTGCGGCTCGGCTGCCCTGCGAGCTCCGCGGGCGGCTGGAGCCGGCTCTCCGGGGCCGGTCTCAACGGGACCGGGCCACCGGGGACCGGGCGCTCCGGGCTGTCGGGCGGAGGCCGCATGAACGTGTTCAGCAGGGAGATGAAGCAGAGGCAGAAGGACTGGGCCGCCCAGCTGCAGGACAGCCAGCAGTACGACTACCTGAGGCAGGAGGTGAGCCCGACCCACACACCTGTGTCTTTGTTTCTCCAACTTTATTTCAACAGAAACTTTAACAACAAACACAACACACGGAGAACACGCTGCACAACTGTATTCCAAATCATAACACAGTGCAAGAGTATGTATAAGTAAACACACCGGACAGAAATACAGATTAAACGGGGGAAAGTGACTCAGACACACTGAATAATTAAATAAGACATTAAAATATTACAAATATTCATGTTTTCAAAGCTTTCTTGTTGAGACAGGAACAAACTTTCTGTTTCTGTCCTGAGAGTGGACAGCTTACATTTACAGATGTGGAGTTTGATCGATGAGGGAAAAGCACGAGAGTCTTTCTCACTAAAGATGCTGCCAGAGATGAAACTAACGATATGTTTCCATAAAAGCTGAGTAAAGGCAAATGTTTCTGTATCGCTCTTCTGTTTTTGAAGGAAGCTTTAACATGATGGATGAGCTTAAATGAAATCTCCTTCACTTTGTTAGTAAGGAGGACAACATGAGTCCAGAAAGAAATGGGAGGAGGAACAGAGATAAAGAGACCTAATCTACAAGAGGAGAAACACATCTGAGCTGAAGGAGACTCTGTCAGGACAGGGCGGGGCTTGGACAGGTGTGGGGACACTGGGATGTTACACCTGGAAGGAAGAGCCAGTGTTATTGAAGAATACCATCATTAAACCAGTTTTCAAAGAAGGGCGATTTATTCTTGTAAAGATGTCACAGATGTTCCAAATATAACATCTTTGTGGAGAACAGTGATGTTTACAGATCCAAGAGTCTGCTGATGAAAGTTTGAGTCCAGCCACCCAAATGTGAAAACACATGATGAGAGGAAGTCCAGATAGATGCTTTTACTCCACTTTTTTGAAAGCATCATTTAGGGAACTGAAATCTATCAAATTTAAGCCACCATTGTTAGAATTGTGGTCAATTTTGTTTTTCCACAGAAAATGAAATAACAGTTTATCAACAGAGTTTCCTGTGTGCTCTGCACGCGTGTAGTTACGCATATGTAATTAGAGATGTCCTGACTGACGTGCACCACAAATGTCCTCGTCTTCCTCCTCTCTGCCTCCCTGCAGCTCCATCTTCATCCTCCACCCTCCCTCTGCACACGCTCAGACCAGGTCAGCCTCTCTGACCCTGAGCGGTCCCTCTTATGTCCATCTTCAGCTGGTCCTCAGCCTCATCAAACATCTGGATCATAGAGAATGAGATCAGAATTTGCAGCTGGGTTTGACGCCACCATCAGTGATGACCTCACTGAATGAATCACACGTTGTTCCTGTTGTTTTGTCTAAAGGGGGGGAAATGATTTCATTATAACAACCAGACCCAGCCACGCTGATCAGGCGTCCTGTGCTGTTGGTTTGCAGGTCGGGAGTCGAGTGGCCGATCGGGTTTACGACATCGCACGGTGAGTTCCTGACGAGGCAGCTGGACCCACGTTTCACACAGTTTAACCACAGAGAGACACGTCTGCTTCAAAAGTCATGGAAATCATCTGAGGAGGTCAAAGAGCAGGAAACGTTCACACAGCCAGATCACTCCAATGCAGTTTTGTTTCTATAGCAACGATCACAACAGCAGGCGCTTTATATTGTAAGGTAGACCTACGATAATACATGCAGAGAAAAACCCAACAATCACATGACCCTCTGTGAACAAGCACTTTGGCGACAGTGGGAAGGAAAAACTCCCTTTTAACAGGAAGAAACCT